TCCAGCCTTGCGCAATCGTAAACGTGTTGTTTACGTTTGGGTAGGATATTTTGGCAGGAACTCATAGCAACTGATTTCTGGACAAGCTTCACTGCATCCTGATCCATCCAACATACCGGAAACCTTACTTTTTTCTAAATATTTGGCCGAAGACTGGCAAATTTATTAAATGCAAGAATTTCAATCTAAATGTGTTGGCAAGATCTTCTAAAGGCGTAAATTTTGCTACTGAAGCGCCGCCAAAGATCTTGCAATATTAAACCACTCTCTGCACAGTGGGAATAAAGCATAGTGGCTTACTAGCAAAGCAGACAGTTTTTTAGACTCTCCCTCAAGTTCATTTTTGAGTCCTATAAGTAGACCAGCAAAGTAGGTACCTATCATGGATACCAGCATTATCATACATAAGAATTTGGTGTAAATCTTGAGAAAATTAGAAAATGAAATGATTCCAAAAATCTCTGGTTTGTCACTATGCAATAAAGTTGCCCACAGCCACAGGTGTTGGCTTAACCCATTAATGCTGATTTTTGAATTTTTCTCTGATTTCCTGTGAGAATATTATCACTTGTGATGTAAATAATAAAAAATATATTCAAATGTTTATTTTTCTTTGTATGTGAAAAATTATAGCTTGGTCCCATTAGGAACTGGGCTAAATATTTCATGATCTGAATAACTTTGATAACATTGTATCACGTAATACCATATGCAGCATTTATTGATAAAATTTTGCATCTAACTCATAACTAATATATTTTTAGAACAAATTACTCACATTTCTCTGCTAAGATTACAAGCAAACATGATTGATGGAATTTTTGTTTCTCATAACAAAAAAAAAAGAACGTTGGCCATTTCCACAAGATGGGGTAATAAGGGACACCCTAAAAATGCATTTACAGTAGAACCTTGATTAGCAAAGGCTCCAGTTAATGAAAAAATCAATTAACAACAAAAAATTTTGATTACATTCATCTTGTTCAGCAAAAAATTTCACTTAACAAAAAATTAATGCATCATCGGACATATTACCAAATTGTGCATAGAAAGTCATAGATAGTATTGTGCACCAGGCAACATAGAATGAAAAGTAATTGCCCTAAACTATGATTTATTTCTCCAAAAAATATAATAGTTGATTGGTTGTCACTAAAATATTCCTTTCTGTTTCAGGTATGTTTTTGTGACGAACTAATCTTGAATAATAGCTAATTAATCGCATCACCTCAAAGTTCGGATGGTCTAATTGTCACGTCCACCAATGCCCGGAAATTAAATGCAACTTCCCTATTGGTTTTATCAGCAAGAGCTTGGACGGAGCGGATAGTTACTCAAACAAACCTTAAATTTATTTATTAAAGATAAGCGGCACATTGAAACTAAACAAATCAAACAGGTAGAATAACGCACGATCCTACAACAGAAAACAAAAAGTAAATATTTACGCAAGACAAGTTGTTATATGCACAAAAATCACGATATTCCATCAAGTATTCCAAGCTAAATTTCACCACCATAGCACGCAACTCACCCTGGCGTCTGAGTCAAAATCCTATAAGAGAGGAACCAGGACGCAAGTCGGGATCGGCATAGTATCTGATGGCTATAATCAATTCAACACCCACGTCAGAGTTGGTTCTAGACTCCTGCGTCTCGAAATAATTTTCTCGAAATGAACCGGGACAGACGAATCGAGACGAGAAAATTCCGGGAAAAAAATAACGGGACAGAGGGTAAAATTTGTCCCGGAATAAACGTATGAACCGAGACAAGACTTCTGTCCCGGACATTAAAACTTGTGTCCCGGTAAATTATGAACCGGGACGAGACAGACAGATTTGGAACGAGACATAACGAGACGAGACGAGATTTGTCTTAATTATTTGAGACAAAACAAGTTTTTCGATTACGATACGAATTATTTCAATGACATGAGTTGAAGAATGACATGTTAGCCCTTTATTGCTAATAGGGCCATAGACGGTTACCAGTTAAATTGAGTTAATTGCAGATTTAGCACAATTTATCTGACTAACTGACATGGCAGTTAATTAGTGGTCCGACAAACACCGCAAACCTGTCGAGGTATGCATGGCTGAGTATTGAGTCAAAAATGTTACTCTTAAGTCTTAACTTAGGCTTCGATGGCACTTATGTGAATCGCACGAATATGAGTCGAGTTTATTATGCGTTCGGAACGAGTTCAGGCGCCGTGGAGTGCATAGAGAGTAGGGACGCAGTGTCTAGATTAGTCGGCCAATTAGTAGACAGTGGAGTGGAGTCCTGGTAAGATATTCCTAATAATACTAAAGCTAGTATTAGATTATCTCTGCCTTTAGTAAAATTTTGTGCTACGCCTCCAGGAAATCTTCACAATTGCGCAGTTTCAGGAAATTTTAAGGTGCCTATTTTAACCGGGATGTCTCGTCTCGTCTCGGTATCGTCCCGGAATTCCTACGGAGGGCTGAAAATTGTCCCGGTTTTTATTGCGAACCGGGACAGAGCCTGTTGTCTCGTCTCGTCTCGTCTCGGAATAAACAAAATGCCAAACGCAGGAGTCTAGTTGGTTCTACTTAAACTTCGTAGTCTGACATACAGTAGTGGGAAATTTGCAGCAACACTTCATTACAGTTTTTTACAATCTTTTTTTTTTCTCATATTGAATTCACTTGACCCAATTAAAATGGTGCAAAATTACAAGCACAGTCCTGTAAGCTTACAGATACAGAAGATATGCTATTTGGCTGCAATATGAAGCTTGCAGTTGCACTGGACAAAGTTGTTGTCAATGCTCAATGGCATGTCCACGGATACAGGAAATTGGGAATATCACATTAATACTGCGGTAATGTATGGATAATATGGTAATATCATATCAATAAATTAAATCACAGAAAATGTCATTTATTCTACATCTACATTTTGCAAAAGAAAAGGACTTCAGAGCACTGTTATTAAGGGATGAGTACACTGACTACACTCTGCATACCGTCAACCGGGGCTACTCGGGACAGTTTTGAGCGTTTTTTTGTTAATAACTTCTTATGATGGAACATTTCATTAACAAGTTTAGGCTCATTTTATAGCTCTTTGCGAGGGCTATCGAATGGCATTGTCAAAAAAATTCCATATGCTATTCCTAAGGTGCCAGAAGCAAAAAAAAATGTCCCGATTAGCCCTGTCAAATGGGGCTACTCGGGACACTTGCAATAAAACTTCATTTTAAAATATTTGAAGCATGCAGAGTGTACCCATCCATTACTAACAGTACTCTGAAGTCCTATTCTTTCATTATAGATGATGTAGAGGTAGAATAAATGACATTTTCAGTGATTTTTACTTGTTTTTCCTTTATTGATGATATTACCATAAACATTAATTACCATCAACTGGGGTGACTTCCCTGCATTTGATTTTGTTTTGCAAACAAAAACGGGGTCGTAAATGCTGGGGTCATAAACGCCAGGGTCGTAAACAAGGTCATAAACACTGGAGTGACTTTGGCCATTGTTTATGACCCCGCTTTTGTTTGCAAAACAAAATCAAAAAGGGGCAGAAGTCACCCCAGTTGAGGGTAGGTACCTTATTATTGATGTGATATTACTGTATTATTGATGTGATATTACCCTATCCATGAACATGCCATTGAGCATTTACAACAACCTTGTCCACTGCAAGCTTCATATCAGCAGCCTTATAGCATTTTTTCTGTATCTGTAAGCTCACAGGATGGCATGTAATTTTACACCATTTTAATTGGGTTGAGTGAATTTAATATAAAAAATATAACTCAGTAGGTACTCACTGCAGTGAGTGACAGAGAGCACATTTTCTTGTCGACGAAAACTTAGGTCACAGACTGACGGACAGACAGACGGACATGGCAAGCACAATAGTGCTCGTTTATGCTCCATGCGCTCGTTTATGCACCATTTTAATTGGGTTAAGTGAATTTACTATAAAAAAAGATCATGAAAAACATACCTGAAACAGAAAGGAATGTTTTAGTGACAACCATCATATATTTTGGAGAAATAAATCATAGTTTAGGTCAATTGCTTTTCATTCTATGATGCCCGGTGCATAATTATATAGGTATATAGCATTCTATGTACAATTTTGTGACGACCGATGATGCACTAATTTTTCGATAAGTGAAATTTTTTTCGCCAAGCGAGGTAAATGTAATCAATATTCTCTGTTTTTAATCCACTTTTTTCTTAACTAGACCCTTTGCTTACTGAGGGGTGTAAATGCGTTTTTGAGGGTGTCCCGAATAGCCCCGGGGAGGGGGGTGTCCCGAGTAGCCCTGCTGTGCGGAAATGGCTGGCATTTTTTTTTGGAATGAGATAGGACATTTCCGTCAATTACGTTTTCAAGCTGACACCTGGGTGCATCTTTCATGTAAGTAAAATTTTTTAATACGGTGAATATTTTTTTGGCTACAGACCTTAGCAGAAGTAACTTTTCAAAATAGCATTTTTCACCATTTTTTTCAGGAATTTTTCAAAGCTAGTAAATGTAGTATTTTTGACTTCCTTTATACTACATAGATAGGAAAAATGTTGATGTTTACGCCACTATATTTAGTTTTGCAACATTCCAATTAGTTTTGCAACATTCCAATTAGTTTTGCTACTATAACAGTTTTACGCCGTGTCGGAGGACTGTCCCAAGTAGCCCCACCAGTCCTGTGTAGCCCCGCCAGTCCCGAGTAGCCCCGGTTGACGGTACTTCAAGCATTTTAAAATTTGGTAAATTATTTCAAGTGTCCCGGATTAGTCCGTTCCCAAGGGTAATTAGGGACACTTTTATTTGCATGTGACACCTTACAAATAGCATATGGCATATTTTTGGAGATGCCATACGATAGCTCTCACAAAGGCCTTTAAAATAAGCCCAGACTTCTTTATGAAATGTTAAATGTTTCATGGTCAGAAGTTATTAAAAAAACTCTCAAAACCGTCCCTTATTACTGTTTGTTGGTAATCTTTGCAGTTTTGCCTAAAAAATCATTTCACTTTGAAATGCAGTCAAAATGAAAATGTTATTTAAAATGCATGCAACACTGCCTGTGTCTGGTATTGTTGCTAGTGTGCTTATTGCCAATGAGATCTAGTTTCAGTAGTTTTGAGATGTTCTTTACCAGAAATGAATACAGTAATACTAATAGTTTGACATGAACATAATGTATTGTTATTTGAATTTTGAAGTGGGGACACAGAGACCAAGACACATTTTGTTCATTATTTGTACCAAAGAATTTGAAAAAGCATTGGACTAAGTGAAATTTTTTCAAGGTCTAATTGTGTCTTGCCAGGTGTGAAATTTTTTAAAAATATCAGTGTAGAATGGCTATGACTAGGATTAACATTGATGAGCCAAGATGGGATCAAAGCACATACATTGGTAGAGCTCGTCATTTTTTTACCACTACAAATCCTGCCAACCTATTTTGTTCAGCATCTGAGTTGGAATGGGCTCGGACAACAGTGACCAAATATAGGTAAGTCGTCATTTAAAAAGAATTTATTGCTTGAGGTGCTTCTTAATAAATCCATATTCCTCAATTTAAGCATAATGAGCCAATGCCCAGCTATATGCTCATCAGGCCCTGTGATTCAGGATGCAGCCTCTGTCATATTCAGCATTCAGGAATATTGGGCTTATTTTTCAATAAATTACGGATGAGAGCAATTTCTTGGATTGACATGAAAATTCCTGGTATTAAGACATACCTTTTTAATTTATTATTGTTTTTTTAAGCTGCTAAAGTTTGAATAAATAACTTTTTTGCACCAAAAGTTTTTTTTTTTTTGAGCAACAAGCAAACGAACAAATGCCATTAAAATCATCATGCCTCAGCACTAATGCCACCAGTCTTCAATGTAAACATTTTGCAAACAAAACTGAACCACAACTTTCTAGCTAAATTAATACTGCTTTGTGGTTATTATGTGATGATTGAACACTGCAAATAGCATTTCTGACCATTACCCTGGTATTGTAGAGTTTTATTAACAATTAGCAAGTTGAGAGCAGTGTCTGCTGTGTGGTGGTGACCTGTGAATCAAATGTCATTGATGGCACAGCCAAAGGTAATTGCTAAACCTCTTCAACAAAATTAGTTCCAATTAAGAATATCAGCAGTTTTTTGAGAAAAAATGTATTAAAAAACCTAATTTTCAGGCAAAACAATTGTCTTCTTGCAGCATCATTAGGAGTGAAGTTTAGAAAACTAAACTAAAATAATAATTTCAACTTGCAGGTTCTGAATAATACCTATGAAATGTTGTTTTCACCTGCTGTTTTTGCAAAAATTTACCCCAAGCTATGTTTTTTATGCATGGTAAAATTCTTATGCATCTCAAACTACCTAGGTTAAGTGTAATTATCATTTGCTATCCTGGCTGCCTTATTAAGATAAGAATTTGTTACCTTCTTTATTTGAGTTCATTGTTGGACTTGTAAGCAGAAAAACTTAGCATGTCTTGCTCTCTTAATTTTCTTTGCATCTTAATAGGAAACAAGTTGACCACATTTTCTCCACAGAAATGGTGAGGTAGTTGATCTCCCTGAAGATGTTCTTTGGCGTGCCAAGCATGTTTACGACAGCGCTTTCCACCCAGACACCGGGGAAAAGATGATGCTCATTGGTCGCATGTCAGCCCAAGTCCCCATGAACATGACTATTACTGGCTGCATGCTCTCCTTCTACAAGTGAGCTACACGAGTTTCTTTCATATATTATTAACTGAAAATGATGGCTTTTCAAAAGTCAAGTTTTTCCACTTGAATTTGATTTATTTAGACCTTGGCTGTTTGATAAAAAAGCCATTACCTTTAATTTCAATTCTTGAGACCTAAGTGAAATTTAATGATGTGTTTCTATTATGCCATGCCTGTATTGCTGGATAAAATATTTCATAGCAAAATTTGTTGCATGTTCTTTCTGCAAAAATTGTTAGGAGTTTCTTGAACAGTTATATTGTACGATGGATACGGTACGTAGTTATTAATGTTCTTGAAATGTTTGGCTAAAATTTGTGTGCAGTTTTTGATGCTCTGAAGTTTGAAAAAATTTTATTTCATTCCATTCACTGACTGGAGGCAAAACTATAAATACATTTATATATAATATGGGTAGACAAGCTAATTCCTATCCCTTATCAGATGCTGAAGGTTTTTTTTATCTAATTTTTTTCAAGAGGAATAATAATAAGAGTTCTGTATAGAAACTGTAATTTGATATTTTTCAGAACCACGCCAGCAGTGGTGTTCTGGCAATGGATTAACCAGTCTTTCAATGCTGTGGTCAATTATACCAACAGATCCGGAGACTCGCCCATCACTGTAAAGTGAGTTTATTAATACAGACTATAATGCCAGTTCATTATGAAAGTTTTGCAGCAATGTGAAGATATTGATATCTTTTGTGGATAGTGCAAGAGTATGGCAATCTTGTTCCAATATGTCCCCTGGCCTGTTCACTTTTTATGGAGTAAGTATATATTAATGCAAATAAATATTCATACCAAATTTATCTTGGAAGCTAAACTAATGTACAATACTATCCAATGTCAAATGAAGTACCAAATACATTATAATGTTTTTTTTTATTTTCCTCAAGCATTGGTTATATTTTCAAGTTCAATTAATCAATGTCTAAAACCACTTTCTTTTCAGTTCATTAGGGATTGGCTGTTAGATCTGCTTTGAATATGGCAAATAAATGCCTCTGCAGTAGATTTTTCTATCCTTGAAAGAAAAATACCTCTATTGAATTGAGTGTCACTATACTATAGATTTCATTTGATCTTAAGAGCATTTTTCTCAGTTTTTATAATTCTTTTGAATTTACAGACAGCTTGGCACATCATACGTGTTGGCAACTGGAGGAGCTCTAATCACTGCTCTTGGTCTCAACTCGTTGGTTAAGGTTGGATTGGATAAATTTCTATTGAAAGTCTTTGGTCATTTGTGCCTATGAGTAACTATACATTCCACTTAAATGCGTACCGTACCAATCAGTTCAACTTTATGATTTGCTAATTATGCTTGATGTTCTATCAATTTGTACTCTGTTCCCAACTTGCATATAACATATGTTCATTTCTGTCACATAACAAAATTTCCCACTATTTTCTGTCAAATATGTACAAACTTTTATTTCCCATCTCTTGAATCCAGAGAATTTTTGTTACATGAATCTCTTGCTAAAATTCAATCAGTTACCCTTTGCCAAAATTAAATAAGTCAATTACCCCATGCTAAAATTCAATACATTTTCAGTCGATGCCTCCGTTGGTAGGACGATTGGTGCCCTTCACTGCAGTGGCCGCTGCTAACTGCGTCAACATCCCAATGATGCGCATGAAGTGAGCATTGTCTCTTCAAATTTGTTAATTTTTAGCGCATTTTCTCATTTATTGAAAAAATGCCTTATTGTACTCGTCATGTCTGTCCGTCTGTCCGTGACTTCACTTTTTCGTTGACGAGAAAATGCGCTCTGTCACTCACTGCAGTGAGTACTGAGCTATATTTTTTCTCATTTGCTGAACTCATGAATGCTTTGGTGGAAATATTTGGACTAACATTTATTCTGCTAGGTATTAAAATACTATGTAGAATTTTGAATTGGACATAACCTGGATGAAAGGTTGAGTTGATTGCTAATCGCTGTGAGTCTGAATAGATTTAAATTTTGAGCTTATATTCATGTGTTGAGCTTGTTCAATTTTTCTTGAAAATATTATAAATATATTTTTAATGTTTAGTTCTGTTTCTGTAGTTAACTTAGTTTCTGACTTTTTTACTCAAAACTGCGATCTGTCCTTTATTTAGTCACATCTGGCTGATTTCTTGTCTGCCGGTTTAAAAATTAGTATGTTTATCTTGGTAGTGATTAGATAAAATATTTCTGTTTGTATACAATTCGATTACCTAATTTCGTGTTTCTGTCTTACATCTTGTGTGTCCTGACCTTGTGTTCATTTGAATCATTTGTTATCCATTCCTGATCTTCCAAAATCGTTGTAAAATCTTCTCTTCATCCTTGATCAATTTTTTCTAAAGACTTCTCTCAAAGAGTCCATCTGTTTTTCATTATTTATTTGCTTTTCCCGTTTACAAATGTCAGTCATCTCAATCTCACCTTACACGTTTATTTATGCCGACATTATTTACGTCTCGGTTCTTTTTGGCCATAAATAACATGTAGCTAACGCCTCTCTAGCTATCTTCACTCTTTGAACAGAGTTTTTAGCTCATTTTCTCATTTATAGAGAAAAGGCGCCATTGTGCTCGTCATGTCCGTCCGTCTTGCTGTCCGTGACTTCACGGACGTGCGGACGAGAAAATGCGCTCTCTGTCACTCACTGCAGTTAGTACTGATCTAATTTTATTATATATGATGGCTGCCACTGGTTTTAAATGTTATAGGCTGGGCACGCGCCATTCTAACTAACATTTGCCGCCATAACCTGGTTGCAGAGAATTTTTGCCGCGATAACCTGGCTGCAGGTTGAACAATAAATAATAATAAATTAAATAATAAATTTTGCCGCCATAACCTGGCTGCAGAGAAATACAAGAAGGTGTGCCGCTCACGGACAGTGCTGGTCAGAAGTTGGGCGTGTCAAGCTCCACTGCAGCAAAGGAAGGCATCTCGGCTGTCTGCCTCAGTAGGATTATGATGGCGTCGCCTGGTATGGGTAAGCAATGATCAGTTCCCATGTGGATGAAAATCGCGGGAAATTAGAGGCAAATATTAAGGAAAATGGCAGCGTGGCATTCGGTTTCAGTGGAATTATTATTGCATTGAATGGTATGGGCTTGGTAAATTACTTGAATGTCCAGGCTATGTAAATTTATTGAATTATTATCAGCTTGAAGCAAAATTATGAAAGAATATGTTATAAAGATCAACGTGCATTTGTACGTAACGTTTTGAATTGAGTTTAGAATGAATATATCGAGTGGAAACTGTTGATAGTAACAATGATCCGCGTGCTATGCCAGTCGATACCAAGCATTCCTGTAGTAAGCAACCTAGTTCTGTTCATTTTCAACCAGTGTGTCATATCCACCGTGGTTGATGAGAGCTGACTTTATTGGGTTACTGTGGGTACCCACACAGTGAAAGCAGGTTTGCCCGCGCGGGCAACCTGCTCCAACCTGCCACAAGAATGAACATAGGATAATAATGTAAGTGTTCACAGTGAAAACCTGTACGAATAGGCCAGCGCCAGGCCTATTTATTTCAATTTCAGGCGCCAGCCTCAGCAGGCAACCAGCACGCTGGCAACCTGCACGCTGGCAACCTGAACGCTGGCAACCTGCTTTCACTGTGTGGGTACCCTAAGGCCTGAGAATAAAGCAGCCTTAGAAATATGTTTGGCTGAAGGTCATGAGTTTGTCTGTCGAGAAGCTGAGTTCCTTGACAAGGATCAAGAGGTGCCAGAAACCTTGTCAGTTGCCAGCCGATAAACGCTCGGGTTGAAGAGCCTCTGATAGGTTTGGCACTCATTTGCCAATTGATTAATTGATTAAACCTATCGATTAATTAATTGAAAGGTTTGGCACTCAGTTATTTGATTAATCTTGTTCCGATTAATATTTTCCACTTGTTCTTGTTCAAATAAATTGTTGTTTATTGTTGATAGTGTGCGAAAATAGTACATTGCATTATTTGAATTTGCCCGGTAAAGAACGGACTTCGTTACATTGCTGGCCAGTATTAATTAAAAAGTATTAATTATAGAATTTTATATCATTTAATTTTAATTTTATATCATTTTTTATATCATTTATTTAGCATTCCTTTCAATCAATTCAGGGTCTTAATGTATGAGAAAATTTTGTTTGACACATTTTGTGATATTTCTTGTGATTACCAGAAAAATATTTCATTGCTCATGGTATTAAATTATCTTACAAGTACCTATTGCTCAATTACTACAGTATGTAAAGCAGAAATGCGAGACTAGTGAACAAAATTAGTGAAATTAGAAGTAGAAAAATAAACGGAGTTAAACAGATTGAACAGAAGCGATACTGGCAATTCTAGCGGACTGAAGTTACTCAATCAATTTAGCTCTCGTCAACCACGGTAGGTTAAGGCACACTGGCTTGTTGTCAGTGACCAGAAATAGGTTGCTTGCTACATGAATGCTTGGGATCAACTGACCTAGCGCTCGGCCCATTAATACTGTTGCCGACTTCCACTCGGCGCCGTCTTAATTTTCTTTATATCCTTACATTATTTGAATCTGGCTCAATATTGTCTTTGGTCAAAAAGCGAAACCCTTAGTATCAGGGCTTCAAACTATCAAACAATAATGTATGTCTGATAGGATTACATATTGAGCTCTAACCTCAATTCAGACTTGATCAGGAGAGTTAACGTGACATCGTTAGGTAGTTTGGTGGAACAAATGTCAGTATTTTCCGAAAATCATAAGAAAAATGTGGTAAAAAATATACCATTAATTATACTTCGCTACAACTACCGATGGAGTTTCTTTTAATGAACACGCGTGTTTATTTTACTTCCGGACCTCTTTTTTTTCATGCCACTCTCTCTTTTTTTAACTCTCATCAACTTCAACTTTCTTTTCTTCCTTTAATTTTTCCATTTCATCTGAGATTAAACTAACTTGATAATCGATTGATCTACCATCATATCTCTGGAATTTTATGAACAGTTTTGCGTTAGAAATCTACTCATTATATCTCGCCTGTTATTGTTTCCCCTCTCCCTTCCCTTCCTGCATGTCTGTTCTTATATTTCGTGCTTGTTATTATATATATATATATATATATACCAATATAATATAATAACACGAAATATATAATATAATAACACGAAGTATATCCTATATTTCGTGCTTGTTTGTTCTTATATTTCGTGCTTGTTTACTCGTTTCGCTTACTGCACAAGTGAACTCAATTGGCTTCGTACGTCTTCTCGTTGCTATACATATGGCTGCTCGCAATTGTCTGCGAATTGTGACGAATTATTGAATATTGAAGCCTTTTAGTTTGTCGAATTCTTATTGCATTCTGTTTGTCGTATACCTATACTTATATTGGTGAAAGGTTGGAGGCTCGTATTCTGGCAAAAAAGTCCTAAAGGAGTTTGATTTATTTTAATTGTTATCAGTAAATGCATTAACATTCCTAGAAAACCATTAGAATTTTTAGAAAAAATGTTTGCAAATTTGGTTTTATGACGAAGGATCAGTATCTGGTTAGATTTTGTACTAGTAAACCAGAAATGTTTATTATTGGGAAAGTGATCGTATTGCATAATTTTTTTGATCTCAATTTTCCAGTTTCAGGTCTGATGTAGAACTTTTTAGCTTCTTCACGGCTTAGATCATACGTTCTTGAATCGTATCGTGAGTGTGGAGGGTTCACAAAATTTGACGCGGAAAACATCAAAATACTGGATTATTACTTTTTTGGACGAAACTTCAGCATGAAATTCTAGCGCGAAAAAGTGGCGACATGGAGAGCAATAAGTTATTACTTTTGATCCCTTTTTTTATTCTACGTTCACTAGGGCCGCTACGTGTTTTAGGGCCGCTATGTGTACTAAGGCCGCTATGTGTACTAAGGCCGCTATGTGTACTAAGGCCGCTATGTGTACTAGGGCCGCTACGTGTACTAGGGCCGCTACGTGTTCTAGGGCCGCTACGTGTACTAGGGCCGCTACGTGTATTTGGGCCGCTACGTGTACTAGGGCCGCTACGTGTACTTGGGCCGCTACGTGTACTTGGGCCGCTACATGTACATAGCCCGCTACATGTACATAGCCCGCTACGTGTACATAGGGCCGCTACGTCTACATAGCCCGCTACGTGTACTTAGTCAAGTTTATATATCACGGCCCCCTGACGTATAAGCCTAAGAGAACGCCGGGCAGGGAGTGGCGCGAGGTTGGCTTGGCGCTGCAGACGAGCGACGGCTCAAGTCTCGGCGTGGCGAGCAAGAAGGCCGCCGTGGAGGGCGTGGCTATGGTCACCGTGTCCAGGATAGGCATGGCAGTGCCCAGCTGTGGTGGGTCCACTCGACTTCTCAGACTTTTTGCGTTGTGACTAAAATTCTGGCTTGGTTCATCACGTTTTTTGCGTTTTCATTCAAATTCTGGCTTTGTTTCATCAGATTTTTTGCGTTTTCATTCAAATTCTAGCTTTGTTTCATCAGATTTTTTCTTGCGCTATTATTATAATTTAGGTTTTAAATCAGATTTTTTTGCGCCATTAATATAATTATGGTTTTGATTCATCTAGCTATCAATTTTTCTTCGAATAATCTAAAGATTCTTCTTCAATTAATTTCTCTTCTCATATTTTTTATTGTCCAATTGCCTTAAGGAAACTTTTCGCTTTTATTTTCGACGCCTGTTCTTTTTTAGTAGTAAACTTTATCATTTAGTTAGACCGATATATTTTCAATAGAAGTTTTGAACTGAAATAGTACTTACAGTAACGATTGTTGTTTTTTATCTCTTTTGGATTTCGTTTATCCAGCTGGGGCGTTAAGCGTGATTTCTCGCAGCGTTTGGAATTAAACCGTAACTAAATTTGGCATAGTTCTCTCCATGTCATAATTGTTGATGGTGTTCTTTGTTGCTGATGATTTCTCTTCTTTCAGTGCTTAGCTGACTTAGTGTGGATTTTGCAGTCGTTCGTGCTTGTAGTTGCTGATGTACATGACTTTTTTAGTTGTTAGAACTTTTTGAATAGGACGATAATAACCGTTTGCTTCTCGCGACTTTCTGCCTTCATGTGTGTCTCGAGTGCCTTTATGTGTGTAATCCTCATCAATAATATCTTCTTGCGTTTAATACGAGAATAAAAATTGCCATCGTATCGCAGGGTTTTCTAATACGTTCATTTTAATGATGATCAAAACGCATTTCATAGTTGAAGTCCATCATCTATAATGTTTTCACCTTTACTATCTCCATTCATATTATCGAATCCACCGAGCACATGTTGAATGCGTGTAATCTCTCGCACGCATGTCCGCTTCTTCAGTGGAAACTCGAATGATTCACATTTCATATCTCCTATGATACCTATTCTTCTAAATGTCCTTAGACTTGTTCAAAACGCGTTCAATCTCATGAATTTCGTTATGTCTCACATGACACGTTGTATTGCTCACCTTCCTTATCTCGGATGATTTTCTTCTTATCTTTCCTCTTAAATACCGTGTGGTCACTGACCGAAAGATATATTTTCTACCTATTTCAATTTAACCGTTCTATATCTATTAAAACTCGTTCATTACTCGTGTGATTTACGATCAAATGTTATCTGCGTATAATCAAAATGAAGTGCATAACTGCTGCCTTGAAACTGAACCTTGATGCCGGAAATGATTTCGGAAATAACTTATCGGCTCTTATAATTCATGCTTTGAAGGTTGGGGTTTTATTCTAATAAACCCTAGTGCAGAGCTTAATTCGTTTGTAATAAACTAAAGATTACTTCTGTGCATGTTTGACATACGCATAGTCGTATCGAAGACTCGTTCCGATTAAATTGAGTGTTCGTTCGTTACAACTCCGTTTTAGGTCCATTCTTGTTCAGTGATATCAGCGCCTATTTGTCATTAACATCTAATCGCTTCGCTCCCGTTATCTGTAATTGGTTATCAGGGACGTCAAATACAGCTTTTTTCTTAAATATCAAGGTTCATTAGATTTTCGAATTACGTTTTCAAATTTCCTTGTTGCTTTTTTATATCTAGCTGTTTTCTGAATATTTTTTCCATGTGCCTCTTTTATTTTTCCATAGTGAATGTATGATTAGTTTCTCTTCCATTACATACGAAAAAATAATTGAATTTATAATTCTAACACGTTTTTTAGGCTTAAAGTCACGTTTTTTAACCGTGTTCAGTTATGAGTTCTGACGATCACTTCGAAAGATACTTTTCCATTTTTTTTTTTGTTAATCTACTTATTATTCTAATACCGTATTCGTGATACTAATTTGAAATGCCCCTTTCGTGAATGAATAATTATAACAGCTATTATAACAATGAATTATAATTATATCTTCTTCCTTCCAAGTTATTATTACTAAATTTGATTGCTATCTAACATTTTTAGCATATCATTTTGATTTTTCTGGATAGATTTTGTCTGCGAACCAATTAACCTCTATAAAAATGATCCATTAACCACTATAAAAGTGGTTCTAATAGGACCACAAGGACCACCTCCTCTGGTCCTAATGGGACCATTAGAACCTATTGCTCTGGTCCTAATGGGACCATTAGTACCCTTACTCTGGTCCTAATGGGACCATTAGAACCCCTTAATCTGGTCCTAATGGAACCATTAGGACCCCTTAATCTGGTCCTAATGCCTTGCTTTGGTTGTCAGTGTTGCCGCCGCTGCTCATGAACTCCTTGGAGAAGAAAGGCGTCCTGCGTAGGATGCCCTGGATCGGCGCCCCTCTACAGGTGACGCTGAACTTACCGATAATCTTCAATAGAATTAAGTATTAACAATTCTTGATGAGTTTTTTTTATTTATAGTTTAGATAAAAGGATATTCTTTTATGGTGTACTTAGAATAAAGGATATTCTTTTATGGTGTAAAATTAAATATCAACAATTCTTGACAAGTTTATTGATTTAAAATTCTGATTGAAAAAATGTTCTTATATGCGGTCCACTAAGCATAAATAATATTCTTATATGGTGTATAATGAAATATTATTAATTCTTGACGAGTTTGTTGATTTAAAGTTCAGATTAAAAGATATTCTTATATGTTTACTTAAAATAAAAAATATTCTTGTATGGTGTATAATTAAATATCAACAATTCTTGACGAGTTTGTTGGTTAAAATTCAGGTTAAAAGGATGTTCTTATATGGTCTACTAAGAATAAAGAATACTTTTGTATGGTGTATGATTAATTAGTAACAATTCTTGACGAGTTTGTTGATTTAAAAATCAGATTAAAAGGATAATCTTTTATGGTTTAAAATGAAATATTAACAATTCTTGACGAGTTAGTTGATTTAAAATTGAGATTAAAAGGATATTCTTATGTGATGTACTTAGAATAAAGGATATTCTTATATGGTGAACTTAGAATATTTAATATTTGGATGCAAAAATGCCGTTTCTCAATTCATTTACAATTCTGGTGAAAAATCAATCTCATAAGTAATCAGATTTCGTAAAGAACTTCAATTTAGATGAGATTTCAGTGTCAAGTAACGTGAACATATTACCTCCATAAATTTAATGGAAGCGAGAAGTTTTATTCATGTTCTTCACTAATATTAAACGACACATATTTCATATTTTGAGAACATATTTCAGAATTTCATGCTGGAGTTTGTTGCATATTCCCTGAACAACAAACATTGAAAGAAGTTGAATGAATTGTCATTGATTTCATGTTTTTGAAATATTCCTGGTTAAAATTGATACGGTCATTGAAGCTTCTAAGTTAAGTTAAATGATTAGATTGATAGTTATTATTGTTCTCAAAATCTTCCTGGTTAAACTTTATCTGGTCATTGATGCTGCTAAGTTAAGCTAATCATCATGTCCTGGTCTAATGCTTGGACTGATTATTTATTATTATTATTTTTCTCAAAATCTTTCTGTTTAAAATTGATGTGGTCATTGAAACTTCAAAGTTAGGTTAAATGTTATTATTGTGCTCAAAATCTTCCTGGTTAAAATTGATGTGGTCATTGAAGCTTCAAAGTTAGGTTAAATGATTAGATTGATACTTATTATTGTTCTCGTAATCTTCCTGGTAAAATTAATATAATCTTCTAAGCTGGGTAATATGACAGTAATGTTCTGTACAGGTGCTACTATGCGGCATCTGCCTGACGTTTTAATTATTGTGCTCTAAATCTTCTTTTTTTAAATTGATGTGATCATTGAAGTATCCAAGTTAGGTTAAATGTTATTATTGTGCTCAAAATCTTCCTGGTAAAATTAATATAATCTTCTAAGCTGGGTAATTTGACGGTAATGTTCTGTACAGGTACTATTAATATAATCTAACATAGAAATTTTGACAGTAATGTTCTGTACAGGTGCTATTATGCGGGATCTGCCTGACGTTCGCGACGCCGGCGTGCTGCGCGCTGTTCCCGCAGAAGGCTGCCATCAGCGTCGACAGGCTCGAGCCTGAAATCCAGGTATACCGTCCCAGCGGTATTTATTGTTACTAGCATTAGTTTTCCATTGAAATATATTGAAAAAATATAATTATTTCATTATTATAGATATAGAACATGTAATTATTTCATTATCATAGAATATATTATAATTATTTCATAGAATACTGGTATATAATTATTATTACTGGTTTTATTTGATAATTGATAGACTTCATCTTAGAAGGTATGAGCGTTTTCATAGTATATGTTTTTTAATAAATCCACGCTTAAATATTTGGTGCACGTGTTTTTTTCATAAGAGAAAGAGTGAATGCCAATCACTTTAAGTACTATTCAGTTCACAAAGGTTAAATAATCTTGTTTAGATCATTGGTTATTTTTGATGATTTTTAGAAAGAAAAATTCCGTTAAATTCTATAAATGTTGTAAATGATGGTTGTTAACTATTTTGCCGTCGTAACTATTTAACCAATAATATTTGTTGCAGGCCAAGATTCGAGCCATGGAGAACCCGCCTACTGTTGTCTACTACAACAAAGGTCTTTAATTAGACCTGAGGTGGAATTTAATATTTCTTGCCTGTTGCCACCACGTATCTCAGCGTATGGTGTTATGATGTTCTGACTCATAGATTTGGTATTCAAGTTCTACGTCTTATATCCTTTGAAACTTTAAACTTCAAATCTGTGGTAATGTTTATACTTTACTGATATGTTTCACTTATTAGCATTCTTGTGGGTATTTTTTCTTTTTCTCCGTAAAGTTCCTCATGGTTTTTAATTTATAGTAATTTATCAGTTGCTTGTTTATCAAAGCATGGAGGAAGCTCGATGTTACTCAGTTGAGAATGAAGTTGGTTTCACAAAGAGTACTTATTTGATGTGTTGGATGTGGTGAAAAGTTTATCTTACTTCTAAGCCTTAATGAATGGACTGAGTATGTACTTATTTTACCTTAATCGTCCACTATACCTATTAGATTTGCGTGCAATAGTTAGGGTAGTTGTCTGAGATCTAAGGTTTTACTCATCAAGTTTTCCGAGTTTATATTATTATGTAGTGTCAGTCGAAGTTGTTATCGTAAAATACCCGTTGTTTGTTGTTATGCAACGAAACTCTTTAATCTTTAGTTGAAGTTAGTCGTAATATTACGTTAATATATAGAAATTAATTAGGAAGAAATTTAAAGTAGTTTTCTTCTTCGTTAATGTTAGCACTTGTTGAAACATAAATATCATGCGTGTTATCACTAAATGGCCTCACAGATTGACATGTAAACTTGTTCTGTTAGCTCTCAGTCGGCTATGCGTCATCCGCCTACTTATTCGAGTGTTTGGTGTACTATCTTATCTCGACGTTTGTTTGATATGTTTACGGGAAAAAAATCACTCGTCTGTTGTCATGGTAAAATAGTCTTTCTGTGTAACCTTTGAGTCGCCGAATTTTACTTTCATCTCTCACTGCATGCTTTAAATAATTTTTTGCTCATCTATTTTTTCTTACAAAATATGCTCTAAATTCTTTGATGGAACTGATCCTGTTAATTTTTTCTAGGGTATCGATGTAAGAGAATACATTTTGGCCATACTAAATATAAGGTTCCAATGTTTATTTAGCCATCTTTATTCAATGATTCAGTTACCGTTTCCCACGAGTCACTAGTTATATATATTTTTTGTTATATTGCACGCATGTAAGTGAAAAGTTCTTATGTGAAAAGATGCGTTGTAAATTTTACATTTCATCACGTGTTATGGTTTTCGACCTCGCAGAGTCTTTCTGCCTCTATTTTCCTCAATACTATTGTCGGTGTGCGGGATAGGCTGACTAAGTCAGCGAAACGAAGCAACTCCATAAATTACTGCACATGTGGAGCTTAGGGTCTTGATTATTTTTAATCAAAAAGTGTCAATTCTAACAGAAAGTTTTACCTTTTCCTGTAGGCGTGTCATTTAATTTAATGAAAACTGTAGACTAGTTTGCTTCTTTTAGATCAAAATGTCCGCTTTTCCTGTACGATATCGAATTAAAAAATGTTTTCCTCTGCTTAAATCATAAGATATGCATTTTCATCCTGACAGGTATACAATCAAAATTGTGAATTATATGTGGTCGTACCAACCTTTGATGACAAATAATAGAACTCTTGAGATGAAAGATTTTTACTTCAAGCGATTATTATAGCAATGCGTTTCAAGTTGAACAATTCAGTGGGATCAACACGTCCAGAATAGCTAGAATAGTTTTGAATTTTAAATAATCATTGAACTTGACTTCAAAAATGCCTTGTACAAACTTGGCACAAACCCCTTGAAATAAAATCATAATTTATGCTACAGGTCATATGGAAATGCGTAAAAGAATGTCTCATTTCCTCCTAATAAATGAAAAAAGTAATACAAGAAAATCCTCGAGTAAACGCTAACAGTGTATATAATATTATCTGTTCCATATTCTTTATATCCGGCCTGTATCTTTTGACTTTTGCTAATAGGATGCCATTCACTTTCAGCTATCCCACAGACTTCTTCTCCGAGCAAAACATCCTCGACATAGAACTTTACTTAACATGTAACTTTTCTCCTAGCTCCTTCTCAAGCCATCGCTTACCCAATAATGACTCGAACATTTTCCAGTCTAAAAGCACTTCATCAAGGGGTCGGATCTCCATCTGGAACAATACTACCTTTCCGTCTAGAACTATGCTGCAACAACAAAATGCTCAATTTAGAACTCGCCACCCGACAAACGCCCCCGTTCATGGATCGTGCATTGCGGACGAACGTTGTATTCCGCGAGATAGCGTTGGTTTTCCAGAGTACGGCCCTCGAACGTCAGGTAGCGACAGTCGTCCGGACGACCAGGAAGTCGCTGCCGCAATTGCAAGACGGTCTCGGCGTTTGGGTTAACACGGAAAGTATGCGTCTGCCCACGGATGTCCTGGACAAACAATTCCATCTGCAACGAAATAGAACGGCATCTTTAGTGACAGATCGACGCGAGTCGTACTTTGTGGCAAGGTATTATCTTTAATTGGTAGACACAGTTAATGAGCCAACGGAAGAAATTTTATGATCCCAGTGACTTCTTTGAAATAAAATCCACTCACATTTTTTGGGTCCGAATCAATTGACGCAGCCATGCGTCGCGTGTGTTCCTGCTGCAGCTCCTGGGCTCTATTCATGACCTGAGCTGTTGAGATCCTGGAGGACACTTTATTTTTAGCATTTTTTGTGTGGATCAGCGTTTGGACTACAGGAAGTTTAGGCACACTTCCTTTATTGCGAGTTTTGCGGCACTGTGGGCAAGCGTAATTATCTTTCTTCTCTAGATCTTGGAGGCACAGTGTGCAGAAAGTATGGCCACATGTCAGCAGCCGAGGAGGGTTGGCGTCGCAATAGTCATCCATGCACACTCCGCAAGTGGGGTGTGCAGACGAGGCTGAATTACCCTGGAGGGATTGACAGTTACGTTAAAGTTTGGCACAGAATTTACTATTGACTATGGCAGGAATTACAGACTTTGTAGGAATTGCAGACGTTAGGGCTAGGATTTTTACGATGGAACTCCATACATAAGTAGGAGCACCGACCAAGGTTGCTAAGAATTTCAACATGGGCAAAATCTTGCAAGCAGTTATTAACTTGAGCGAAACGTTCCATAGAAATTGTACTTCATAACAAAAATGTAAAGTTAATTTAAACTCACCGCCGAAACGGAGGATCCAGCAAGGGATTCTGTGTCGTCCATGTCCATAGGAACGACTTCTCTCCCTGTGGGTATCGGTGCCATTGATGAAGAGCACTCCAAGGGAATTACATCCCGCCCAGTCCTGCCGGAAGAACCTTGTCCAGATGCACCCGAGCTCGCCGGAATTAGGGCGTATACCATGGGCAGATCCGAGACGTTATCAGTGCAAGATTTTCTGCACTTCTTTTCTCCGCATCTTATTTCGTCTCGGTCTTCCATTTCGGATAGACAGTTGCGACAAGATGCATGACCACAAGGCAGCAGTAGTGGTTTCCGTTTTTTCTCATCATACGGCAACTTGCAATGAGGACACGATGATCCGAACATCTTTGCTGTAAAGAAATAACCAGACGTTAGAAAGAAAGTTCACATAAATACTGCTACGTGCACAGAAAAAAAATATGCCAAAAATTAATTAAGTAAATATGCTATTCTTCGATTTGACCATTGAGAATTATATTGAGTGCTTAGAACCAATTTGAGAATTTGTCTATACTGTTTTCTATAGGCATCACTTTATTCCTTAAAAGCTACTGGACGGGAAAGATGCATTAAATTGGAGAAAAAATTGTGCCGAAGCCAGAGTGACAATAAGTGTGAACCCACTTTATGCATGCTAGGTTGATGCAGTACCGTAATGTAAAAAAAATCACGTCACTTTAACGCAGTGTGGTTATTACTCGTGTCACAATTGGGATCGGCTGGCTGTTGTTCAAGCATTATTACCGACTACCGTAAATGACACACAAGTCGCTCAACTCAGCAGAAACAGCACATTCCTCGTCGCCGTTAAAAAAAAACGATTCATTTTTAAACACTCAATCCTGTTAAGTATAAATCCGCAATGATTGATTCGTGTAGGTCAAAAGTTGCCAACTAACTAAATTGATCGTTAATTAATTTTTTTGTAACAATATTCGTTTTATAGAAGTCCAACGTATTATTAGATATACCTAGCTAGAATTTGTTAAAGATTCAAATGAAACTTCTTTCGTCATACTCGACGGTAACGTAAAATACAGATAGGATGCAGTATGATGCAGAAAACACCAGGCTATATTTTAATCGCCGCCGCCAGGCAACCTGAGGCAAGTGCTAAATCTCTAAATAGAAGCAACATTTTAGAATGTATAACCCAAAAACTTAAATAGTATTCACAAATCACAAGATCAGCAGGCAATCGTTTAAGCTTAGTGAAAAAAATAAGTGTAACTTACCAATTCTAGGTTAAAAAATGCAACTTCAATCTTTACAAGCAGCAAGCACTCTCACTGTCTTCGTTGTCTTCGTTCGAGTTTCCAAGCAGAGTTAGCTAGGAGCCTAGGACGTTCTGGCACCTCAATTTATACAAGCAAATGCAACGAGTACCGAACGAGTCTCGCTCCCGATCGAACCAAGCCCCAAGGTCACAGTTCTCGACTTCTGTTGATGCGGTTTGAGCCTAACTAAAACAATGGTAAAAAAAATGCTTGCGGTGATACTCTTGAAATTTGATACATTTAGAAATATTATTGACTCATTCAGAAAAATTAACATAGTTTTACTGGTCACTGCCTCGCTGGTCAGTACTTACTAAACACAATCCTCGAGCTCGTGCTGTCTGGTGACTCGGTGGTGTGGCTTGCGCCTTTCTCTGACATTTTTCTCCAATAAAATACGTTTATCAGAATTAATTTCAATAGATAAATATACTTATGACTTGACTATACAATAATGCATTAAACTTACCGATTAAATGGTGTAAATTACAGTTTAAATCTTCACAATAACAGCACTGCACAACAACGTATCAAGCTTGCGTATGCCACGAAGCTCTGGCAGCAGCTCTATATATGCAAGCAGTGCAACAGAACGAGTACCGAACGAGTCTAGTTTTCGATTAAACGAAATGCATTTAGTGATAGAGTTGAACAAGTAGTGAGCGAGTTTGTCTAAAAACAAAGAGAATTGTATTAGAAGGCGTGGAAATTTCCAATGCATAATGAATTTTAAAAAAAGACAAACTCACGAATGGCAATTTAATCCAGCATCGGTGGTAGGTTTGTAAACTTTATACAAATTTTATTCATCACATTATCAGTTTTATGCTTAATAAAGATTTTCAAAGTAGCTATTTCGCAATTGAATTGTAGAATTCAACTCGAGTAAAAATCACATTCTAATCTTATTCCTATAACCGGTGAAGGACTAGATCGACACTTCTCCGAACTCACCCGTGAACTCGTCAGCGGAATCAAACGCAAAACGCTACCTTTACGCATCCAAACAGCTCATAAGTTTCTCATTTCAGAATGCAGAATGGTTTCTTAAATTTAAAATATACCTAATTGTGAGCAATACGCCACGATAGAAATTATTACAAATTTTTACGTCATTTCGTTTTCAATTAAAACAAACAACTTCTGCGCAACCGAACAGCTCTAAGTCGTTCTATTCTGGAACGGATCAGCCTGAAATTCCAAACTTAACTAATTATTTGTTATAACTTATACGTTATGCCGCGATAGTAGTTACTACATTTATTTGTGACATTTAATTTTCAATTAAAACGAAACCTTCCATAGGTTAGGTTAGGCTATGAATAGGTTAATTAAGTTAGAATTGGTAAGATTAGCCTATTTGTTACTAAATCATCTGCCTAGGGCAGCGTCATTGCATTGCGGTAGAAAATCAAGTAAACTGATTTATCAGATTTCGCATGGAACTTCAAATTAGGTAACTTTCCTTAATAAAACACTTACCACTATGAAAGTAATACACTTGTCGGATTTGTAGAACTATTGTACCTACAGGATAAATATTGAATATGAATCACTTCGGCGCTTCCTATAGTATGCAATTCTATCTACTAATATAGAAAAACAGTCATAACATAACATAACATAGTGATGTCGGCGCTGAAGTGTAGGCCTGATGTGGCCTGTCGCCGATTCTTTTCCTTTTCGTGCCTTGTTCATAGATCTAAACTCGTGTCATTTGACCGGATCTTTTCATGACTGACGATAGTTTGAAGTAGCTACTAGACTTCCCCCGGGTTCGATAAGGAGCTAGGCATTTCAAATTTGAACATATATTTTTTCATAGCTTTATCTAGTCTGTTCTTGAACGCGTTCTATACTTGGAGCGCCAACGATGTCATCGGGGAGGCTGTTCCACATGTCGGTGATTCGAAGCGAGAACGCGTGGAGAAGTTGCAGCGCAGTTTTTTTAGCTTATAGCCGTGGCCCCTGGTGTTGGTTCTTGTTTCAAATTCTAGTAACCCTTCAGGGACCTTGTATAGACCATGAGTATACTTGTATACTTCAATGAGGTCCCCACACAGACGTCGATAACGGAGGCTTGGAAGCTTCATAATCTTCAATCTTTCTTCATAGGACTTGCCCTTCAAGCCTGGAATTATCCTTGTTGCACGTCTTTGAACATTTTTTGAATTGAAAAAAAAAACTATCCCCTTCTTTAGCCTTATTGGGTAAAGTGCCAGCGGATGACGTAGATTCAGACTTTGGCGTTTTTTCTGAGTGTAGGAATTTTGAATATTCCCGTAGTGTGAGAAGAATAGAAGTGTCGGCACTGAAAAAATAGGCCCATTGCCTGTTGCCGATTCCTGTACTTTTCGTGACTTGATTCACAAGGGATCCGGCCTTTTGAACCCGATCTTTCCATAACTGATGATTGATTGAGATACCTGCTAGACTTATTGCCAGGCAGGTCCGTAAAGTGCTAGGCATTTAAAGACTGAACATATGCTCATGCATAGCTTTGTCTAGCCTGTTCTTGAAGGCGTTCATCCCGGAGCGTTAACGATGCTTTCAAGGAGGCTGTTCCACTTGTCGGTGACTCGAAGCGAGAAGAAGTGTTGTCGCATGGATGTGTGACAACGCAGTTTTTTTAGTTTATAGCCGTGGCCCCTAGTGTGGGTTTTTGTTTCAAATTCCAGTAATCCTTCTGGGACCTTGTATAAACCGTGGATATACTTGTATACTTCAATGAGGTCCCCACGCAGACGTCGATCACCTGATCACCTATAAAAATGATTTCCTATAAACTCGCCAGTCTTAATCATGGTATCTTGATTGCTGGAAATCATCGTTCACTTTTCCAACGACTACAGTGATATCTTTACTTTAAATGTTTCTTTTAGTTCGATTAAATAAATGCATATACAAGAGAATAATGTTGACGCCTTGAATGGGTAATTTTAATTGACATAATAATATTAAAACAATCGATACATACTCATATTTGCAAGAGCATTTTCTTCCCATTTGATTGGATAATCAGTCATTTTAATAAACATAAAATTCAATTTTTGTACGTAATCATTAATGCTACTATTTTGTGGGGCATGTAGCCATGGTTGAACTATATATCTACTACCAGTTCAACCATGCATGTACCCGACGCTCGCCGCGTCGGCGTGTTCTTCCGCCAAAAGGCGGCCACAAGCTTTCTTTCATAGCGTCAATTGAGTACAAAATTTCCATTAAATACATGTTTCGTTGCGCTAATTGGATAGGATTATGTCATTAAATGCATGTGCCATGACTCTTATCATACGATACTCCTAATTTATATAAATGAATTTCAAATAATGAATTATTCGATTAGATACTAGTTTGGTTTGTTTGTTTTTTACCTATGACTGAACTTTCAACCTTGGTCAATATTTTTTTGGAATAACATTCATGACATGCGAAATTATTGTAAATAACATTCATTTCATGCTTCATTTGTACATCATTATTAAATACACGTGTTCTCTCGAATGCAGCCTACTATTTACGGAATTTATTTTCACAGTTTGTACAAATTTAAGAATTTTTCGACCTCGCTAATCTTTCTGCCTCGATTCTTTTCGATTTTAATGTCGTAGTTACATTACTTTACTTTCTATTAGTAAATAGAATAGAGCCCACAAATAATAATAATAATAGCGGTTTCAGCGTTTAGTAGGCCGTAGGCCAGTCGCCGATTCTTAACATCGCAGAACATTCACAGCATATTGCGGTCTCGAACTCGCAACGCACTGCTACAATTCTGCTATGCTTAACCGCCCGGCCTCCTCGCCGATTCTGACCAGAAACTGGCGCACAGAGCTGGGATCGAACCCGCGCCTCTCTGCGCCAATCTTGGTACTCTGAACTTTAACCACTGGGCCACCCTGCCACACCACTGGGCCACCCTGCCACTGTATAATAACTTGCATCTTATGCGTAGGTTGTAAACCGGTTTTTGTGTGGTAGTTATTTTCATATAATAAGGAACCAGATGACATATATTTATGACCAGATGAACTACTCCAAGTGTAATTTCGTAATTAAAAATTAAAGAAATAAAAAATTATGTTTTTTTTCAATTTATTAGCTTTTCTACCACTCGTATTATTTTAGATTATATAAACGTTTTCCTCAGCTTCGTCAGTAAATTCACCGCATTTAAAAACCCTTTGGTTATATAAACAAAGAAGTCACTTGCGTATGGTCGTATCAACCAAACCAAAACAACCTGGTGAATAAATGAGCACTTCTAACCCGAATATGTACTTTATAATTTCATGCGCAATTATTGCGATAGATATAAAGATAGTAGGAAAAGATCGGAATTTTAATTTGGTCGAATCAAAATGTATACAGAAGGCAGAATAGTTCTGAAAGCGGAATGATTATTCCAGTTAAATAAATCGCTTCAAGCTTTGATCAAAGGCCACGACACAAATTCACTGATATGATACAGTGGGGGGAAATAAATATTCGTACACTTGAAAAATCGTATTTTAATGTATGTAAGTACACAAACTTAACAATATACATAATATAAATCACTTCTCCTGTTCAGTTTGTGTACTTACATACATTAAAATACGATTTTTCAAGTGTACGAATATTTATTTCCCCCCACTGTATATATGAAAAAGAATCATTAATATATATCATGCGGGTAAATTAGAAAGTGAAACATTAATAATGCGTCATACCATGCGAGTAAATTAGAAAGTGAAACATTAATAATATGTGTATATATGGAATATCCATATGTCTACTTATGGAACATAGGCCACGACACAAATTCACTGATATGATATATATGCCACGGGCATCCAGAAGCGCGCTGGTGTTGGTCGTGCCGTCATTCTTCATCCCATCAATAAAAATACTAAACCTTCAGATTCTTACTCAATCCTACTCAATGCATATTTACTACAATCAATAGGAAGAGGAACGGTTGTTATCACTTCTAAATCTCAATTCACAATTAGCCCTCCTCTAAAGTGGTGACCCCAGAGTGACCCGAACACCCAACCTTCTGATCTGTCATTGCCTACTAGCCAGTTTTCGTAGAGAGGATGCTGCTGATATCTCTTCACTAATGTGTCCACTGTCCATGTTAAAGCGCACTTCCACATTGCCACCGCACAAGCAGTGATTCGCGTATTTCCCATACTGAATCCAGCGTTCCGTCGCAAAAATTTGTTGCCTCGGCGATGTTGAATCCTGCGTTGAAGCCCGCGTGATACGCATATGGAAACGTGATGATGATCTCACCTTGCTCCTGTATCATCTTTTTATGCGGAATGCCCGTTTTTAAAATTTTCGGTGACACGAGGGTAATCTTGTGTCGAAGAAAGCTTGAACAGGCCTCAAACCCCCGGGAAATGCTTCTTTACAAAATCTTCAAACTTGTTGCCGTGTTCTGGTGGAATGGCGTACCAGATCTTCGGTTCCCCCGAGTGCAGCAAACTTATACTGTACTAGTCCATATCCGCCGTATGCCACGCGAACGTGAACTTGTAACGCAGGATTCAACATCGCCGAGGCAACAAATTTTTGCGACGGAAGTGCGCTTGAGCATGGACACATTTGTGAAGATATATCAGCAGCATCTCTACGAAAACTGGCTAGTAGGCAATTATAGATCAGAATGTCCCCAAGGCCAAAACCGCACCTTACTTACAGCTCAGCATCCTGAACGTATGCCACGCGAACGTGTACGATTGATTGATTTTTATTCACAAAGGAGCTCTAGTTACAATTCAAAATAAAAAAGAAAAACAAACAATCACACAAACAAGCGCGCTGGTGTTGGTCGTGCCGTCATTCTTCATCCCATCAATAAACATACTAAACCTTCTGATTCTTACTCAATCCTACTTAATGCATATTTACTACGATCAATAGGAAGAGGAACAGTTGTTATCACTTCTAAATCTCAATTCACAATTCTTAAACAGCCCTCCTCCAAACTACCAAATAGTCGGTTCTCCCCCACAACAATCAATACGCTTTCACAAAAACAATACGCTTTGTCGCTTTCTGTATTTAATAGCATCCACCCGACAAACGCCCCCGTTCATGGATCGTGCAGTGCGGACGAAGGTTGTATTCCGCCAACAGGCGTTGGTTCTCCAGGGTACGATTTTCAAATGTCAGGTAGCGACAATCGTCCGGACGATTTGGCATGCGCTCCCGCAACCTCAGCACAGTCTCCGTCCTTGGGTCCACGTTGAACGTATGCGTCTGTCCACGGGGGTCTTGAACATGCACTTCAATCTGAAAAAAATCATCGTCTTAGGTGACATAGAACGAAAAAGGTTGCATCAATGAATGGCCTACTCCGATCGCATAAGTTGCTAAGTTATGAAACCAATACAAATTGATGGTTCATAATAAAAATATAGTCGGATAATGTGCAAACGGATGGAAACATTAGTGTTTACCCTAGGTTTAACGTTCACTTACAGTTTTTGTGTTGGAATTAATTGAAGTTGACGGGCGTCGCATTTTATCCTGTTGCAAGCGTTCAACTTTTTCCAGGACTTTAGTAGGTGGGTCCCTGGGAGAGACTTTATTTTTCGCATTTTTCTGATGGATCAGAGTCAGAACAACGGGAAGTTTAGAGCAACTTCCTTTGTTGCGAACTTTGCGGCACTGCGGGCATGCGTAGCTATTGTTCATCTCAAGATCTTTGAGGCAGAAGTACAGAAAGCGTGACCACATGTCAGCAGCCGAGGAGGGTTTACTTCACAGTAGTCATCCGAGCACACGACACAAGTGGGGAATCCAGAGGCAGTCGAGTTACTCTGAGGACAAATATGTTTCGATTAAATTACCAATAGAAGTTACACATGGCTGACGCTATGGCAAGGTAACAAATGCACTCAATAAATTCAACGATTAATTAATTATTCCAATATAAGTTGAAACGCTGACAAACCAAATGACCGGAAAACTTGTACATGCGTCAAATTTTTAATGCAGTAATCAAGTGCTGCTGAATGGAATGAACAAATAATAAGTAATTACAATAAAAATGTTGCGGCAACTCATGCTTACCGTCGAAACCGAAGATCCAGAAACCGATTCAGTGTCATCCGGATCCATAGGAACGACTTCTCTCCCAGTAGCTATGGGTCCACCCGTACTTGGTTCAAGAGGAACCACGTCCCGCCCAGTCCTGGCATCTCCCGAGGCACCAGAGTTCGCCGGAATTAGATCGTACACCGTAGGTAAATCCGAGATATTTTCAGAGCATGACTTCTTGCACTTCTTCACGCCGCATTTCATATCATCTTGGTCTTCCAAAGCGGAGAGACAACTTCGGCAGGAGACATGGCCACACGGCAGCAGTAGAGGCTTGCGGTCTTTCTCATCGTAGGACTTCTTGCAATGAGGGCAGGGTGGTAATGATGAATCAGCCATCTTATCTGTAATCATGAGACTAGGTTGTAACGCACTACAAACGAAAATGTTATGTTAAATCACGGCTAAAATAAGTAATCATTTTTTTTCTCCTCCTCAAACTCAAAGTAATTCAATTGTGATTGAGAAGATTATTCATTCGTGATCAGCTTAATTTACTCTTTGATTGCACTAATTTGAACCTTATTTGAAACTGATCAGTCATTGAAAATCAAGTTATCGCCATGATTTAGACCCCACGGTGGTAAGTGCATTAACACATACCACCATATTTGCACAAAATTCAATGGCACTAAATTTTTTTGCACCATACTACAAAATTTTCTCTAGTTAAATTCTATTTGTTTAGCTGCATCATGATCAAATATCAATGCAGAGCATTTACCTGCATTTTTTATAGTTATCATGATCGCTGCAAACAGTAATTGGCTGCTGTCTTCCTCAATTCAATTGTTCATTAAATCATTGTTATGGAAACTCGTATGCTAAATATTAAAACAAATGAACTAAACGCCAGAAACTTCGTTTCATTCATCACGACGCAATTGTGTCAAAATTAAAAGACAATTCCATTACAGTTTCAATCCTATAACCGCAACAAAATCCATTATTAATTGAAAGCTGCTCCATTTGTGCAGCGAAGAACTCACATTATTTGACTGCCCATAAATGCCATTGACACCGATGTGGGTTGGGCTGGCAAGAAGTCGAAGAAGAACAACTTTTGGTTTTGTAGTTTACTTGCCGTTGTTGGTAACAATGGTGACTTAAGTGACTTGGTGACGTGAGCTGGAAATGAGATTTAATATGAGTTAATAAGTCGAGAAAGACATACACGAAACTTACACTAGGCAGGAGCAGGATTTTCATTGTTTAGATTTAAGTACTAAACATTTTAGATGAACGTTATTAATTGACTTCTCGATAACGAGATTACAACTGGCATGACAGGTATTGTTTATGTCGGCATGGCCGCAGTATTTCATTTGTTACTTACACAAGGTGGTTTTAGCAGGCGAGAAGAGACGCCAACTTTGATGATAATTAGGCCTACGTTTATTCTGACTTCAATGATTTAGGCCAGATATACCTAATGTTGACGTTTAATTTCTTATGCTTAAATTTGCCAACGCTGAGTTTGGCTTCAATTACAGTTATAGCGTCGACGCTAGGTTGGGATTCGATTCCGATAATAGTGCCAACGCTGAGTTGGGCTTGCTTACTGTTCTAGTGCCAACGGCTGTGGTTGGGTTTCAAATTGTATTACGATACCTGGAATAATGAGATTAGAGATAAACTTTAGAGGACAACATCTTAAAATTACCTAAAATGCTTCGAATCAAAAGAGACTTAAAGAAAGCAAGTCGGCACTCGGCAGTAAGGCTTAATGAGGCGGTAGCAAAGAACAAAGTACCTTGTCTCTCTTAAATCTTTTCTCTAAGATTGAGTGGAAGAAAACGGAACGGCGTCTTCCTCTATGTCGCTATATATCAGTGGTTCCCAAACTTTTTCAGGCTGGCGCCCCCTTAGGCTCCCTAGTGAATTTCTAGCGCCCCCCACAGACATACGCCTCTCTTTTGAAATTTAGTACTCTGCAGTATTAAAAGATAAAGGTTTAAAACAAATGTTTATTTCACAAATAGAACCCCATTTAGTGAACCAATTTGCTTTTCAGCTGTTTTAACTGTTTCAGCACCACAATCCTAGGACGTCATGGGCGAATTTACGGCCGGACTCGTGACCGGTCTCAAGACCAATCTCCCAATTCAATTATAATATAAGTAATATCTCGCAAACTAATGAACGCAGCTCAATGAAACTTGGAACACGTATTCATCAGAACCTAACGGTGATGTTTAGCTCGTAATTTTTTTTTTATTTCACCTTCATTCGTGAGTTACGCGTATATTGCGAAATAGGCCGAACTTCGCAGTGATCAAAGTATTTCTTCCAAACTATTGAACAGATTTGAACGAAATTTTGAATATGCATTCCTAACTAACAAACGGTGATTTTTTAGCTTATAAAATATTTTTTCGATTTTACCTTCGGTTGCGAGTTTTTTTCTTCATTTGTTGTTCTATTTCTTCTATTCATCTATTTCTTCATGCCGGTTGTTCCTCATCTATCTATAGAAGTCGCGAACGAAAGCAAAATAGAAAAATTGTCACGAGCTAAACATCACCGATGAGAGGTTAGGTATTTATATACAAAGTTTGGCTTAAATCTGTCCTGTAGTTTAGAAGAAATTTCTTGATCGCCGCGAATTTAAGTGACAGATTACCCGGAAGAGTGAAATCAAGAATGACGGTGAAATGAAGAAAAAAACTCGCAACCGAAGGTAAAATCGAAAAAATATTTTATAAGCTAAAAAATCACCGTTTGTTAGTTAGGAATGCATATTCAAAATTTCGTTCAAATCTGTTCAATAGTTTGGAAGAAATACTTTGATCACTGCGAAGTTCGGCCTATTTCGCAATATACGCGTAACTCACGAATGAAGGTGAAATAAAAAAAAAATTACGAGCTAAACATCACCGTTAGGTTCTGATGAATACGTGTTCCAAGTTTCATTGAGCTGCGTTCATTAGTTTGCGAGTGTCTCTTATACANAGCGGTAGCGGTAGCGCCCGTTACAATCTAGTGGGTGTAGCGGTAGCGGTAGCACCCGCTACATTTAGAGCATGTAGCGGTAGCGATAGCGCCGCTACATTTCCAAGTAGCACTGCCCAGCTCTGTTTGTTGGATGTGTTCCATGTAAGTTTGTTATAATTTCGCGCGAAATTACCGAGCATTATAGCTCATAGATTTAAGAAGTCTGTAGGTCATTGATATTAGTTCTGTTATATAGATGACTTTCACACTCGGTGCATTGTATCATTGTATTGCGCCTAAAAAAAACAAAATGGTAATTATTCAGATTATGCAGATTAAAACATGACGTTGAAAATAACAGGTAAAGATTCGATAAATCAAGCGATTCGAGCACTATGGCTACTTTGATGCACATTTCGAGAGATTGTAGCGATAGGAGAAGCAGTTATGGCCTCTGCCTCCTCACATCAATCCAGGATAGTTATTGCGCCGGCGATTCGATACGCTAGAGGCATAGTTGAATTGATACAGTATTAATTAATTGAACCATGCGCTAGAGGGGATGCATGCTAGAGGCCAGCTGAAGCAGTGTTGGTTTAAAGTTCGTGTGGTGAGATAGGTCAATTGACTACACACTGTTAGAAAAATTACCGTTAACGGTATTACCGGCGTTTCAGTGGCCGGTCGGCACGTGAAAAGAAACACCGTGTCGCCGTTTTTATTCTAATTTAACACTAGAAATCCGTAAAACATCTGATAAAAACGGCGAAACAGTTTATTTTCACGGGGCGACCGGCCACTAGAATGCCAGTGGGAGCGTTTGAGCGTGGGTTTGAGCGTTTATTAGGCCGTAGGCCTGTCGCCGATTCTTAACATTGCAGAACAATAACAGCATTTCGAGGTCTCGAACTCGCAACTCACTGCTACAATTCTGCTGTGCTTAACCGCCCGGCCTCCTCGCCGATTCTGACCCAGAAACTGGCGCACAGAGCTGGGATCGAACCCGCACCTCTCTGCGCCAATCTTGGTACTCTGAACTTTAACCACTGGGCCACCCTGCCACTTGGTAGTGCGATGAGGCCGGTGCAAAAGTTTATAAACAAAAACACACAAACAACACACACTGCATGGCGCTGGCTACAAGACGCTTTACGGCGGAGCCTTAGCCCAGTCAAGCGCTCTCTCGATTGATGTAGTCATACGGGAAGGATATTATGGTCATGATATGGTCATGATGCAGCTGTGATATGGTCAAGATGCAGCTGTTATATGGTCATGATGCAGCAGTGATATGGTCATGATGCAGCTGTTATATGGTCATGATGCAGCTGTTATATGGTCATGATGCAGCTGTTTTATGGTCATGATGCAGCAGTGATATGGTCATGATGCAGCAGTGATACAGTCATGATGCAGCTGTGATATGGTCATGATGCAGCAGTGATACAGTCATGATGCAGCTGTTATATGGTAGGTCATGATGCAGCTGTGATATGGTCATGATGCAGCTGTTATATGGTCATGATGCAGCTGTGATATGGTCATGATGCAGCTGTGATATGGTCATGGACCAATCTTCTTCCCAACGAGACGAAAAATTGACGAGGAAGACAGCAGAGGGCATCAGAGTATATGGTATTTCCCGAACGGTAGGTAGTCGGCACTTGAAAGAGATTTGCGTCTCAATCTCAAATTTTATTACTAAATTGGGTGTAATTCAATCTTTTAAAACCTTATCAGTCAATTCAAACAGGCAATATTTCATATTGCCATATTTGTCA